GATGGAGGAACCATCATCATCGTTTTTTGAAGGCGCCTGGCAGAGCGGAGGAGGACCAAGGGGACCACCAGGCTGTCTACGGGGTGTGAAAAGGCCCGGTCGAACCAGGCAGCTAAGGACGCCGGAGATACGCCCGGCCCCATTCTTCCGGGCGGTGTTGCGGCCCCGTGCACCTGGAAAGATAACCCAGCAAACTCGTGCGAGAAAGAAAAAGAAATTAATGAAAAGAGCGGGGTGTCATTCCCGTGCGCACTCTTATTTTTTCAATAGCTGTGTGGCAACCTATCCCATCTCTCTCTCTCTCTCTCTCTCTCTCTCTCCCCCCCCCCCTTCTCTCTCTCTCGTCCCCCCTCGTTTCCACCGTGCAGCTCCCTTTCTCCCCAGTGACGGTGCCCACTCCGCTTTCTTCTGCTAACGCCAGTCTGCAGAGTCTGTCCCTTAGTTCTGCAGCCGACGTCCATTGACCAGTTCTCTCATCCCACAAATCTGCAATCCTGAGAATACCACGTCCAGTTCATGCACATCCGGAGGGCCCTTTATTGAGCAATACGCATTATGTGGCTGGATCCGCGGAGGGACTCGAGGGGTTGAGTCTCCGTGGGGGCTTAAGCATGCCCTTTTTTTTCTCTGTTTAAGGTTAAGGAACAGTGATACGGATGGATAGAAAAGTAGGAATATTGTCCTGCCACGTGGCATGTTCTTTTTTGGGGGGTTGGGGGCGGTTGGGGTGGGTGGTGGGTTTGGGTTTGGGGAAGGGATTGTTTTGTTTCTGCTTTTTTGAGTTTTGGATCCGAAGTCCAGTTGAGCGCTAAGGCTCTGATAGTGGCAAACTCTCTCTCCTCTGTTGCTGCTTGCAGGGCGAAGGAGTCCTTGGCGTTTATAGCTTTGCTCATCAATCATCAATCACCAATCTTGACCGTCGATCTTGATCATCAATCGTCAATCATCAATCTTGACCGTCCATCTTGATCATCAATCATCAATCATCAAACTTGACCGTCCATCTTGATCATCAATCATCAATCATCAATCTTGACCGTCGATCTTGATCGTCAATCATCAATCATCAATCATCAATCTTGACCGTCGATCTTGATCATCAATCTTGTGTGACCATGGATTTCGCCAAGTTCACAGATGTCAATGAACTAGCGAAGATGGTGAATATCAGTAATCTCGCCGAGATCCCGATGCTTCCGGAGCTGGCAGAGAAATTCGAGGTCAGCCTTGAGGTGGCACTGTGTGCGGCATTGTCGACTTTGTCAATCACTTTCCTTGTCTCCTTGTTCTTACTTAAGGCTGCATTTGGTGGGAGCGCAGGAGATACCATAGTTTTCCTCGGCCTCTGCGGCGCAGGTAAGACCAGTCTTTTCTCACAGCTGCGTGACGGTTCCATGCATAATGGCACAGTCACGTCCATGGAGCCCAACGACGACCGCTTTGCGCTCTTCTCCGAGCGCAAGAGCGGGCGCAAAGCGCGCCCCGTGCGCTTCGTTGACCTCCCCGGGCATCCCCGCTTGAGGGCCAAGGTCGACGAATTCCTCCCTCAGGCACGAGGGATTGTGTTTGTCATCGATGCTCTCGATTTCCAGCTAAGGCCAACAGCAGAGTTTCTGTACGAAATGCTCACTAAGAAGATAGTCGTCAGCTCAAGAATGCCTATCCTTATAGCTTGCAACAAGTTGGACAACGTGTCGGCCCACTCTGTGGAGTTCATTCGGCGGCAGCTGGAAAAGGAGATAGAGAAACTGAGAGTGACCCGGACGTCACTCTCCGATGGAGATGCATCGTCGACGGAAGTCCGGCTTGGAAAAGAAGGGGAGGTTTTCAAATTCACACAAGTCAAGAACAAGGTCACTTTTGCAGGGATCATAGTAGCCAATAATGATATCCAGGAGGTAGAGCGGTTCGTAAGAGAGCGAGTGAGGGGGTAGGGAGAGGGGGAAAAGTCGTTTTTTTTTTCCCCTTTTCTTCTCTTTGTGTTCTTTGTTTTTTTTGTGCATATGACCGCAGTTTTTTTAGCAAGGGAAGAAAGAAAATTTCAGAAACAGAAATGGAAGGAAAAAAATTAAGAAAAGAATGCCGTAGCATGTCTTCACTTGCTGCGTGTCCAGTTTTCTTCCTCTTTCTCTTGCTCTCTGTGCTCTGCTCTCTCTCTCTCTCTATATATATATATATATCTGTGCGTGTGTGTGTGTGTGTGTGTGTGTGTTTGTGTGTGTTTGTGTGTGTTTGTGTTTGTGTGTGTGTTTGTGTGTTTGTGTTTGTGTGTGTGTGTGTGTGTGTGTGTGTGTGTGTGTGTGTGTGCTGTCTCTTATACACATCGTGGACGGGCCTGAGGGGGTGGACCGTGGAGGAAAAAGCGGATGGGCCCGGTACCTACCCGGTACCAACCGGTATCGGATGGCCCGAATCGCTGGTCGGTGGATCACCACCGTGGACGGGCCTGAGGGGGTGGACCGTGGAGGAAAAAGCGGATGGGCCTAAGGGGGTGGACCGTGGAAGAAAAAAACGGGCGGGCGTGAAATTCTCCGCTTCCGGTACCTACCCGATACCAACCGGTATCGGATGGCCCGAATCGCTGGCCGGTGGATCACCACCGCGGACGGCCGGGATCGCAGGCCGATCAGAAAACTTTTTGATCCACCTGCGATCCGCGCCGTCTACGGTGGTGATCCACCGACCAGCAATTCGGGTCGTGCGATATGACGTTTAGCAGTTATTTTAGTATTACATAGTATTGTAGATGTAGACAACCGTTATCGAACGGCCCGAATTCAAGTTGTTGTCGATCACCACCACAAACGACCCGGATCGTAGGCCAATAAGAAAACTTTATGATCGGCTTGCGATCCATACCGTCTGCGGTGGTGATCAGCCAGCGATTCGGACCGTGCGATATGACGTTTGCAAGTTTTTATAGTATTTAGAATGTAGACGGAGATGGAGATGTAGAAACTGGTGGTGCCACCTCTTTTTTTCATTTCAACTGGGCCACTTTTCCCTTCGCGGTCATTTACTGGTACGGTAACGTCGTCACATACGCCATACTCACACAAGGACCTTTTGCACTAAGTTGTGGATGTGATTGTCATCAGATTCATTTGGGTCTTGCTCTAATTATGCTCAAATTCATTTAGAAAAGTCCTAGTGTGAGTATGCCCTTAGCAATTCATCCCTACAGCGCGAGGTGTGGGAAGAAAACACCAACGAAAACGCGCCACCATCCCATAGGGCTGAATGGTACTCACATGCACTGCTGATAAGCGGGCCTAAGATCGAAGCCAACAACAGTTGCAGGGGCTTTCACAGGCTCCCTTTAGACAGATCGAAGGTAGTCAACCTGGACACGTGGAGGTTGAAAGGGGTGAAAATCATCAGTGGCATGATACTAGCTTGCGGGTCTAACTCAGTTGGTAAGGCACAGAAGGTCGTGGGTTCAATCCCCATTGGCCTCATGAACGTGCCTTGGCAAACTTGGTGTTTTACCAATTAGAGATAACCCATTGACCCTCCAAGCCAACATTGGCAGGGTCTTGGCCAATATTGTTGGTTGCTATGCATAAAAAATATTGGCCATTACTAGTAGACACATCTAATGTGGGGTTGGAGGAGGGTAGGGTGAGGTGCGAGTGACTGGCCAAAGATGCTCGGCACTAGCATCGCCAATTTCCCCCTGTCGCCAATGTCTGATCACCCCACATCATCGTGATGGGGGGTTGATACAAGCCTTGCTCTCGCACCACTGTTGTGGTGCCAACCTACCCCATGGGCTGAGGGAGAGTTTCAAGTTTGGTTGGTGTTCCTCCGTAGCATACATAGAGCAGCGAGAGGGTGAGATAGATGAGGGAAATATGTATAAGAAGATTAAGATAATAATATAGATTAGTTTTTAAAAGTCTAATTCTGACTTGCAAGGAGGGCACACAGTTGCACTTGTTACGACTGTCAAGTGCGGATAGAGCAGGGGGGTTTGGTGGCAATTACAAATAGAAGGAAGGAGGATCGTGGCCCGAGGCAGGAGATAACTTATTGTGTAGGCAAACGGGAAGCAGGATATATCAACACAAAGAAAAGACATGGGAAGATGATGTTGCAGCAACTTTCGGGGTTATTCCGCCCCTGCTCACCCCCTTCAACTGTCAGGTTTAGTATTGTGGGGTATAGCAGGTCAGACCATCTTTTATGTTCCTTATGGTTTCTTAATGAATGACATCCAAATGTTGGCAAGGGTTTTCACATTCGTGTATAACCCCAAGTAGCAAGGGGAGGCCCCCCCTCCCCCCCTTTGCACCCCTCCCACCCCCTCAACTATTCAGTTCAGTATTACATTTCGCCCCCACTCAAAAATTTTAATTGTTGTGTTCACCCTTTCATTTGGCATTGAGGTATGTTTGTGGAAAGTAATTGAAAGGAGAAAAATATTGTGGTGAAGGGACATAACAAGACACTACCATTCATAACCTTCAAGAGTCATTACTGAACAGTTCTACCATTTTTTTGTACGGTTTTTTTCATCTTTATCTTCAACATTCATGAATTTTACCTCAACCTTTTTTTTTTGCGGGAGGTGATAATTGCTCCCTCTTTAAGCCATTTGTACTCGGCCCAACTACGAAGCTCGAGCCTCGACCGACCGGTATTTCGAGTCGTGCCGAGGCTTGAACTACCGGGCGCTCAGTTGTCGCGCCTGATATAAGAAGAAATGGAAAAAAATGAGAGGAAAAAAAAAAAAAACGAATACGAAAAAAACCAAGATTTTTTTAATTTATGAACAAAAAAAATCAAAGGAAAAAAAAATAGGTTCGGGTATAGACATAACAAAGAGAGAGAGAGAAACGACATTTTCAATTGCAGCCCTTTATGCAGCTCGCAACAAAAAAATGTCACGTCTTTCTCACTCTCTCTCTCTCTCTCTCTCTCTCTCTCTCTCTCTCTCTCTCTCTCTCTCTCTCTCTCTCTCTCTCTCTCTCTCTCTCTCTCTCT